GAGCCTCCGATACCTACTGGATTGGAGGCTGGATGGGTCCCAGAGCCAGTCTTGACGATGTGGAGAAGAGGAAATTCTTGACCCTACTGGGACTCGAACTCCGACCTCTCGGTCATTCACCCCGTAGCCAGTCGCTATACCGACTGAGCTCTCCGGGCACTTCTGTTCATCTTTAAACGCCTGAATTGTGGGCTGTAGTAAAGTTAAACAGCAGTGCATCAGAATACGGTTCCACGTTTGGCACCTTTATGACCACACTTCTATTTGCAGTTTGGTTTTAGTGATGGTATTGATCCTGTAGAAACTGAGCATCTGCTGTGAGCATGTTTTACTGAACAGAATTTCTTGTATTTTAATTTGCTATGCCACATTATATAATGAGGAGCTTCATAACTTCTACTCTTCTCCAAGTATAATTAGAATGATGAAGTCAAGGAGGATGAGGTGGGCAGAGCATGTAGTACGAATGGGGGAGACGAGGAATGCGTATAGGATATTGGTGGGAGAGCCAGAAGGAAAGAGACTACTGGGAAGATCAAGGCGTAGGTGGTTGGACAATATTAAAATAGATCTTAGAGAGATAGGATGGGATGGTGTGGATTGGATTTATCTGGCTCAGGATAGGGAGAAATGGAGGGCTCTTGTGAACACGGTAATGAAACTTCGGGTTCCATAAAGTGCTGGGAAATTCTTGAGTAGCTGCAGAATTGGCAGCTCCTCCAGAAGCGCTCAGCTCCGTGAGTGAGTAAGTAATTAAGTAAGTATGCCACATTGTAGTATTAATAACTTAATGGTGCTGGATTTTGCTTGACTCGTCAATAATCACGCATCCGATCAAGTAATTCCCCGTTTTTAAAAGGAACTTGTGGGTGCATTATCATTTTTACAAAAAGCCCAGAATTGGGCCCTATCCTTAGCCAGTTCATTGCACCCCTCCACATTCGCACTCTATTCTCCTACATCCGTTTTAATGTTATTCTCCTATCGACGGCATGACCTTCCATTTGCCTCCTCCGTGGAGGTTTCTGAATCAACTTATGTAACCAATTTGCTTTTCTTGCTTTACTTGAACGTGGAATTTTAGGTTATGTGTCCTTAATGATCGTGATTTCATCAGGTTGGCCACGGCAGTTGAATGAAAGATAGAAATTATCTCTTTTTTTTTCTCCACGTTTTTCAGAGCCAGTTCGGGAAATCATCAGGAAAGAAAACAGAAGACGAGAAAGTGATTACTTTGGGAGTTTGTTGCTACCCGTCGTCTACGTTTCTCGGTAAGTTTGCACGATGTCCACTGAATAAGCTGAATGGCTGTCTCGGAATTATTTGAAAATAGTCCTTCATTCATTTTTACAGACTATAACTACTCTTGTTAATGAGAGAGAGCTACAATTAGCCATTTATTTTTATCCCCTTTAACCTTTTGATACGAGACTAATTATGTTTCGCAAGTAATTAAGTATTCTTTTATACGCCACTGTCCGTACATATTGTAATTTTCTTGGCTTTCATTAAATTTGCCTTCTGAATAGAAGTCTTATATAGCTGTTACTGAGAGTTACTTTGTATCTCTTCTGAAACTGCCTCCACTTTTAATTTTACAAGGAACAAAACAGTATTCATCACCATAGGTTAAACGTCTATGGACAGCCTTCGCCAAAAGTGAGGGTTGCTGTATTCGTTGCACGAAATTCCGACCTGCAGCTCTACCAGTCTCGTGATTTATGTGATTCTGTTGCGAGTATGTAATCTTCAGTCGAATGAATGAACGAATATGAGGCAGAGTCAGTAAATAGTTCACAAATGGAGGTAAAACAGCTGCAGTTGACGTAATAAGGGTTCTGTATCACTAGGTAGCAGCACAGTCCAGTTTCTAGGTAACAGAACCGCATGCTTATGATTACAGGCTGCTTTCAGGAGTCAATATGGCGACCGTGCTGGGGGGTATACTACTGAAGAGCAGAGTTCTGTTTTTTTGTGGGCAAAAGGACTCTGTGCAAAGGATATTAATAAAGAAACGTTTCTGTTTACGGTGGGAATTGTTTGTCGCTTAAAGCGGTTCACACCTGGGTGTCAAAAGTGTCGCTGATGGCGAAGACGAACCGGAGTGAGGAAGTGGCTGAGACAGCAGTCAGAGAGGCTTCTATGCTGCGGGTTTCGACTCACTAGTAAAGCGATGGAACAAATGTATCAGTGTTAGTGCAGGGTATGTCGAGAAATAAATGTTTCTTTTTCCAGATTCAGTATCACATATTTCACGTTTTATATCCATTTATGATCTGTTTACTGACTGTCCCTCGTAAATTATAAATAAAGAACACAGTGTTCATCTGACTTCCGAGTAGTGAACAAGTGCGGAGTGCTCTGCTGACTATAGAATAGTAAACAAGTATTGAGAACGTGTATACTGTTTGAAAGCAGTAGTGATCATCTCGCTGGGACGACTGGTTAAATGCTCCAATGCGAAACAGACTCGAATAACAGTATGTATTACCATCATCCTAATCTACAGGGGCAAACAAACACTTCCATAAACACACAGTACCCAACGAACACCCAATATACCTCAAATGTACCGGGTCAATCAAACATTC